TCTATTAAAATAGTCAAAAACTAAAATAAATTATTAAAATAGCAACTCCCCAAACACCTACAATATATATATAAAGATACATTGGGTTTCATTTTCCTGATAGCCAAGTAAACAGCATGTCTCAAGCTAAAAAGCAATCACTCATATTTGCTAAATGGTATAGGAAATTATGAGCTTTTATTGATAATCACCATGTGCTTGGTGACAACCCTTCATCACTTTCATGTTTTTATACTTTTGCCTTTTCATCTCATTATATGCTTCACTTAATTGTTCAATGAATTAATGGACATTTTCTTTGTCACTCCCTAGCTTCATAGATGTTTATAAAAATAAATCAAGGGAAATGATCAGTAAGGCAGTTTATGATTCTACAATTCAAAATATACACAATTTAGCTTTCGATAACTTCAAAATCTTGTGGTTTACTGTGGTGTCCATTTAGCATTTTAGGCTATTTCTTTGATTATTTGCTTAATTGGAATCATGCTTTTTCATTTTTTAGTTTTGAGTTATTTTTGCGTCAGCTTTCAGCTCCATTTCATCACTCGAAGTTTGTAAGCAACTATTTCTAGGACTACTTCAATCTACTCAGCCTAGCCTGAAGAAACCTCTGAAACATCAAATGTTCATGTTGAAACTCTCAACTACAAGTGGTGCACTTGCAGCAGCTATTATTGGTCCTAAATCAACACTACTACACCATATGGCTCTTGCTTCATGAAATCAAAATTCTTATACATGTTAACGGTCTTACATAACTCTAATTTTAAAAGTCTTGTATTAATTAATTATCTACTAATTACTTAATGTATAAATATATACTGAATTATTACAACTTTTTGTAATGTGCATACCATAAACTACTTTTTTGCAATCATTGTCTTCTTATTTTCTTTTTTAATCTTTTCTAATTTGAACAATTACTTTCTTAATCATTTAGTTTAAATATGTATGATTCTTTTTTTTTTTAAACACACAATTGTGTTCATGTTTTGCCCAGTAATATTACAAAACTTCAAGCTATTCATTCAATCAACTCATCAAATTATGGGCATCATAAGGCGAGTTCGGATCTTCTGCCATGGTTTCCTACCATGGTTCCTGCAGTGCCCCAAAACGACGTCGTTTTGGGGCCCAAAAGAAAAAAAAAAAAAAAGAGAAAGAAAGAAAAGGAAGAAACTCAGAGAAGGAAGGACAGAAATATCGCCAGAGATCTCGCCGTCACTCCATTTTCGGCGAGCTGGCCATCCCAAAACATTTACCAACCCTTCCCTCCCTACACCCACCACCTCGCTGTCGCAACCCACCTCCACCTCCATCCCAAACCTTTGTGTTAACGAAGCCCCTATTTCTCATCGTTTCATCACCGATGCAATACACCGACAACACATACAAAGATTCACACATTCATAGGAATATAGGGGCAGAAAGTGTTGGCAAGAAGCCCACAACTTAAATTTAATTGTTCATATATGAAGAAGCTTCCCAGTTAAACAATCATCTCCAAATTTGGTTTGTATAATTATTATCATAAAAGTCTAAAATTTTAAAACAAATGGGTTCATTAAAATTAAATAGGAACAATACAAGCAGCAGATCTATGTTTATGGCTCTGTGTTGTAGGCAATGAAGGCAATGAAGCTTTCCATGGTTGTGTTGTGTTTTCTTTGCCGATATCTCTTTGAAAACCCTCGATCTAGGGTATGTGAGCTCCTCCTCTCTCACCTAGCCTCACCGCCGACTCGCCTTGCCGACTCTATTTCTTCAGCGTCTCTCTCTCATTTCCTCTGTTCTG